TGGTGGTGAGAAGGTGGGAGATGGTGGGAAGAAGGTGGGAGAGTGGTGAGACATCATGAGAAGAAGGTGGGAGATGGTGGGAAGGTGGTGGAACATTGTGAGAAGAAGGTGGGAGATGGTGGGAAGGTGGTGGAACATTGTGAGAAGAAGGTGGAACATGGTGGAGAGGTGGTGGGAAGTGTGGGACATCACGAGAAGAAGAGAGTGGGACATGGTGGGAGGTGGTGGGACATCATGAGGAGAAGGTGGGAGAAGGTGGGAGATGGTGGGAAGTGTGGGACATCACGAGAAGAAGAAGGTGGGACATGGTGGGACGAAGGTGGGAGGTGTCAGGAGATGCTCGGAGATGGGTGAGGAGCTGGGAGAAGGTGAGAGGACACTGGGAACATCCATCTGTGGATCCCATCCCGTAAATCCCATAAATCCCATAAATCCCATCCCATAAATCCCATAAATCCCATAAATCCCATCTCATAAATCCCATCCCATAAATCCCATAAATCCCATCCCATAAATCCCATAAATCCCATCCATCCCATCCCATAAATCCCATAAATCTCATCCATCCCATCCCATAAATCCCATAAATCCCATAAATCCCATCCATCCCATCCCGTAAATCCCATAAATCCCATAAATCCCATCCCATAAATCCCATAAATCCCATAAATCTCATCCCTTAAATCCCATAAATCCCTTAAATCCCATAAATCCCATCCATCCCATCCCATAAATCCCATAAATCCCATAAATCCCATAAATCCCATCCCATAAATCCCATCAATCCCATCCATCCCATCCCATCCCAGCAGATCCATCCTGATCCATCCCATCCCAGTCCCCACTGGAATCTCCCCAGTCCTGTTTGGATCCTGATCCCGTTGGGAATTCCCCAGAACTTTCTGGAACCCTGATCCCGTCAGGAATTCCCCAGAACTTTCTGGAACCCTGATCCCATCGGGAATTCCCCATCACCATTTTTAACCCCTTCCTCGCCAAACCCTCCCATAACTCCCCCACC